CTCGGAATCCATTTGGTTTCTCTGTCATCTTTGGGATGATGACATCATAGTGCTCTGTATTACTGGCCGCTCTTTATAATGTTGGATGCTTGCTATGGATTTTTCTTTTGCTTCTTTTTGGCAGACTGTTACAAATCTGTGAACGATGGTTGCGGTGATTTAGTACTGGTATGGGCTATGTTACCACTTATGTCACACATGAGTGTTTTAAAAAATATGAAAAGTCGGAATAATATCGGTGGGTTAGATATTTGAGAATGCTTTTTAATGATGTCTTGTCTGTCATGGGATTCTTTATCTCGTCCCTTGCCCATTCTTTCGAATGTTTGGCATGAGAAGTCACTGTTGATTCAGCATGGAGTTGTGGATAGTTGAAGGTTAGGTAGGCATACTATTTGATACCGAGGACAACTTATTGGAGGTTTTAACAGTCATATTTATTGTCGTAACCGTTTTTCGCCCGAAGGGAAAAAACCGATATCGACTTGGGGGGTTTCTCTTTGAAAATCGTTTTAAAAGGTGAGGAGTCGCCACCAATCATTTAAGGTGAGATTGGAACACCATAAAAACCGGGTGATTTTAATAAAATATTTTTATTTTAATAAAATACCGAGTTTTTGAGGTCTGCAAAATCCAGAAATCAGGTTCGGGAGTCGGTTACGCGTGGGGAAGGATTAGCACCCCCACAAGCGCCCAAAAATTGGTACCTAGTTGATTACCCTATATTTAAAATCGGAAATTTTGAGTTCGATCTTTATTTAATTTAAAAATCATTAAGGATGTAGAGTTTGAAAAGGGTATTCGTTTATTGAGACCGATAGCATTCGCCCCCGAGCGTAAATGCGGGAGATCAGCTATTCTGTCTAATAACCGAACATTGCCTCATTTTTAGAAAACATGATGTGGTTTAAAAAGGATGTTGACTTATTTGGGGAATTACCAGTAGTCACCCCCTGAGCACGATCGCGGAGGATATACTATTAATTCCTAAATAAGTGAACAGTGCCTTAGATTTGTAAAAACAACGCAATCAAATAAAATTTTATTTGTCCTAATTAAACTAAAAGTAAATCAAGGCCTTTTTCTAACTTAAAATGTCAAATTATGAAAATTAAGGAACATAGGGACTCAAATCTAAAATGTAAGTTCTAGTATTAATACTTAATGTTATATATTAAAATAGATTAAATATTCACGTATTAGAAAGTTTCTTTCTATAATTATAAAATGATCGAATATTACTCTTAGTCAATTTATTTCAATTCAAGTCAAGTAATGCTCATGAGGATATCATGCAAAATTAATTAAAAGATGCCCTACACCTAATTTATATATCAAAATGAATGCAACTATATATGTAATTTATAAACAATCAAAAACTAATAGTAACTAAATATTGCTAAATATGTATACATATTCTAATAATAACATACAAAGGAACTAAACATTAAATATATACATGCATAGATAGAATATAATATATACATAAGGAACATATAATACATATATATATATTATAAATGGCGTGGGTTCAAATCCCACATTCACTACCATAATTAATGTGTGCATATATATATATATATATACCATATGCTAAATAAAATAATATATATCCTTATAAATGATCAAAGCAATTACATGGTCAAAGTAATTAAATATTCAAGATGCTACTCCAACACATAATCCTCCAAAATTAAGGCGAAAACAATGAGAACGTTAAATTAGCACTAATAGATGAAAGCTAGAAATAATAAATTAATTTACATACAAACCAAACGAATTTTAAGAGTAAATTAATCAAATATTGAATAATAAAAATGCATGAATCTAAAAGGACACATACACAAAGTCGGTAAATTATAGTAACAGTCCCTAAATGGACTAAAATGCAAAATACACAAAAAAAAAATAAACATAAAAATAAAAATAAGACTAAAACACAAATTATCAAACCATCATATCTAAATTAAAACAAAAATAAAATATGCAAGTGACTAAAATAAGCATGTTTAATATCTAAGACTAAAACCATAAATAAAAAAAAATCATAAAACACTAATGAGTGGCCTCCCACGTGGGTTGATTAACCCACCAATTTTAACACTAAAATACTAAACAATTATTGTCATATTACTATACCCCATACCTAGATGAAATGTCTCCCACGTGGGTTTGATTAACCCACTAATTTTTGCACTAAAATACTAAACAAATATGTCATATTACTATACCCAATTAAAACCTCTTTTAATTTTTATTGTTCTTGGTTCCCTTCTCTGTTGCTCTCAACCAGAACGGCGATTGTACACCAAAATCCACAACTTGTTCATCGCTCGGTCGGCCTCTACGTTGTGGTGACCACACTCCTCTCCGACTACCCCATGGTAATATTTACTTCCTCCTTTTACTTCTTCTTTATATTCTATTTTGTTTCAAAACTTATGCTAAAAAATAAATATGATTTATTACCTTAAAAATGCTTTGCTTTGTGCTGTCGGGTTGTTGATAAAGATGGGAATGATAAGTTACTTGTATTGCTTATGCGAAAAATCAAAGGAAGAAAGTTGGTATTTTATTGATTTCGAATCAAAATCCCAGGAGACCCTTTTGTGCTAATGACCCCCCTTACAAATTGTTTTCGAAAGATCCCCTCTTTCTATTGAAGAACTGAACCTTACAATCTGTTTTCCCTCTGTTTTGCTTGCCTCTGGTGGTTCGAATGGCCTCCTTTTCCTGTGTTTTCTACGCTGGATATATAATTGCACGCATGTGGGAGCAGGTTGGATCCAGGATTTTTCCAGATTTTTGGTATTATTCTAATATTTAGTGGAGTTAATTTGGTCTGATTTTTTTTTTATGTTTTGGGTGGTATTTGCCGTAAGGAATGACGATGGTTACTTTGGTGATCAGCAATGTGCTCAGCGGCGTGCTTGGCAGTGGCCTCGGGTATGGATCTAGCACCGGGTCAGGTTACTGGGCCAGTTCGGGTCTCCTTGTATTGCTGTTGGGTCAGGTCTGATCCAGCTTACTATGGGTCGGTTCTTGGAGTCTCGGGGCTGGAACTTGGGTTGAAACCTTGTAGTGGACTGTTGTGTTTTATTTTGTAATTTGGGCTGCACATTAAGCCTGCCAAATATGTAAAATAATATTAATAATAATAATACATATAATAATAATAAGAACGAGATGAAAAATCGGGTGTCGACAGTTGCCCCTCTTTGTCCATTCTTATGTTAAAAAGAATAGGGCAAAGATGAAGAGACAATGCATTTTTCATCCATTTAACTTCAATATTTGAGATATGATGAGGAATCTGTTCCGCTGTCACTCAGGGAACATCAGATCTGGGGATGTTGATCTATTCCACTGTTCTTCAGGGAAGATTGAATCAGGGTAGACTTGTTCCGCTGTCACAGGGAATACCAAACCTTGGAAAAAAGAGATATGTTCCGCTTCTTCTGAAGGGAATATCAAATCATGGAAAAAGAGACCTGTTCCACTTACTCTGAAGGGAATGTCAGATCTGGTAGACTTGTTCCACTTACTCTGAAGGGAATATCAAATCTTGGAGAAGAGAGACCTGTTCCGCTTACTCTGAAGGAAATATCAGATCTTGGAGAAGATAGATTTGTTCCACTTACTCTGAAGGGAATATCAAATCTTTGAGAAGAGAGACCTGTTCCGCTTACTCTGAAGGGAATATCAGATCTGGCAGACTTGTTCCACTTACTCTGAAGGGAATATCAAATCTTGAGAAGAGAGACCTGTTCCACTTACTCTGAAGGGAATATCAGATCTGGGGGAGTTGATCCATTAAATCGGGATCGAACCTAAAAATTAAACATTAACCTTTGTTAATATGTGTTTGAGGATTCGAAAACATCATACCTGAAAATCTTGGGAAGATAAGTTTTGGAAGAAATTTCTCTTGCGGAAGCTTGTATTGCCACGACCAAACATGGAAATTCTAATTGGTTATTTCTTTGTTGGGTCTTTACATCTTTGCCATTTCTTTTAGGAGAATCTGCAAGCACTCATTATTATGCATTTTATGTCATGATCATGTTTATGCCTAAAATGTGTGCAATGATGCAATTATTTTGAGGGTATTTTCTTTTCAAACGAGAATTTTCTTTTGTTAATGGCCTTGTACTTCAGACTGATTTGGGCACGAAAAATCAACAGCAGTTTATCTCAATCGAAAACCCTGATTGGGCACTCTTTGGTTGAGCCTGACTCTGATTCTCTTTACTCTTTGAACCCATGTGCTTCTCATGACCCACTATTTAATTAGTGACAAAACCTCTTGGGTTATCCTCAATTGTTAAGCATTCGCGTATATCCCAAGGCTTTAACTTCTTATGGTCTAACATTGCATAAGCCTTATGCTAAAACCATTTTCGGCTTCAGAATATCTGTATTTTCCAAAACTTTTTGTACAATAATGCACAATGATCTCATGTTTCCCGAGCTAATCTATATGTTTTTATTTTTAATCAGGATGCTTACAATGCGGTTAAAAACATCTTTTTATTTATAAATAAAGAGTTTTTTTTTTTGAGTGAATACATGACAAACTTTTAAAAGGAATAATCAAAAGAAAATACAGTAGGCGTCATCAGACATCAATAGTATGAATGCTTTTGAACTGGCACGCCGTAAGAGGACCCGAGTGTAGCTTCTGTCAAGGAGATCTTGAGGATTATGGTAATGCGTAAGGGTGTGAAGTTCCCCCAATACTGCCAAATTCCCGACTGTTGAATGCCATAAGCCAGTGTTTGAATCTCATTTACTTTCTGGTTACCCAACTAATTCAGCTCCACCATGCACGAATTCTGAATTTACACAATTCTCAAGCCGCCCTTTACGGGTTTTCAACCTGAGACCTTTTCTGGTTACAAGACGTCCTTTACGGGTTTTCATCTTGAACCCTCCTTTTATTTTTTTTCTTTTCTTTCTCTTTCTTTTATTTTTCATTTTTTGTCTTTTTCATTTTTTTTTCAAGCGAAATACTTCTTGACTACATCAGCATTCACAGGGTTAGGTAACTCTGGTCCATCCATCTCGGTGAGGATCAAAGCTCCTCCAGAAAAGGCCCTCTTTACCACATAAGGTCCTTCCCAATTTGGCATCCATTTTCCTCGAAAGTCTTTCTGAATTGACAAAATCTTTTTAGCACCAAGTCTCCTTCTTGAAACTCTCGTGGACGAACCTTTTTATTATGTGCCCTTATCATACGTTTCTGGTACATTTGCCCATAACAGATAGCTTTAATCTTTTTTCCTCAATCAGGTTCAACTGATCATACCTAGATTGCACCCATTCTGCTTCATCTAACTTAACCTCTGACAGCACTCGTAGTGACGGAATCTCGACCTCAATGGGTAACACAGCCTCCATGCCATAAACTAAAGAAAACGGAGTTGCCCCAGTGGACGTCCTTACTGAAGTTCGATAAGCAAACAGAGCGAATGGTAGCTTCTCATGCCAGTCTCTATAAGTCTCAGTCATTTTCTGTATGAGCCTCTTGATGTTCTTATTAGCTGCCTCTACCGCTCCATTCATCTTTGGGCGATAAGTGGTGGAATTATGATGTTTAATCTGGAACTGTTTACATACTGACTCCATCATCTTATTGTTTAAATTCAAGGCATTATCGGTGATGATCCTTTCTGGTAGCCCATACCGACAAATAATTTCTCTCTTCAGGAACTTGCAAACTGTTGACTGAGTGACATTTGCATAGGAGGCCGCTTCTACCCACTTAGTGAAGTAGTCTATTGCCACGAATATAAAACGATGGCCATTAGAAGCTTTGGGTAAAATTTGCCCAATGACATCCATGCCCCACATAGAGAATGGCCATGGAGCAGTCATTACGTGCAATGGATGAGGAGGGGTGTGGAGCTTATCTCCATAAATCTGGCATTTGTGACATTTTCTGGAGAAATTGATACAATCAGTTTCCAGGGTTGACCAATAATATCCAAATCTCATTATTTGTTTAGCCATTACATGTCCATTAGCATGGGTACCACATACTCCTTCATGCACATCTTCAATGATTGTTCTGGCTTCTTTGGCATCTACACACCGTAACAAGACTTGATCATGACTTTTCTTGTACAAGACCTCACCATCAAGCACATATCCTGCCGCCATTCTTCGAATAGTTCTTTTGTCATTCTCAATGGCATGCTTAGGGTAGCTTTGATTTTTAATATATTGCAGGATATCGTAATACCAGGGATTTCCATCCTCTTCCTCTTCTATGCTATAGCAATGGGCTGGATACCCGTAAGCTTCTATCGTAATAGGCATCATGCTTGAATATTCATTGACTTTGAAAGCTGCTGCCAAAGTGGCCAGAGCATCTGCCATTTGATTCTCTTCTCTGGGGAGATAATGAAATGTCACCCTCTCGAATTCTTTAATGAGCTCTAAGACCAACTTTCGGTATTCCACCAACTTCGTATCTTTTGTTTCCCATTCACCTCTGAGTTGATAAATTACCAGGGCTGAATCTCCATATACTTCGAGTATTTTCACTTTACGCTCCATGGCAGCTTTCAGACCCAGAATACATGCTTCATATTCGGCCATGTTATTTGTGCAATCAAAATTCAATCGACTGGTGAAAGGATAGTGTTTTCCACAAGGTGAGATGAGAATTGCCCCAATCCCGTGCCCTAAAGCATTAGAGGCACCATCGAAATTCATCTTCCATTGTTCATTAGTAAAGGAAACTGCATTCTCTGTTGAAATAACCATTAAATCTTCGTCTGGAAAATCGAAGTTCAGTGGTTCATACTCTTCAGAAACCCTACTTGCAATGAAATCGGCCACAACACTTCCTTTAACTGCTTTTTGGCTTACATATTGGATATCAAATTCCGACAATAAGATTTGCCAACGAGCCAATCTTCCAGATAAAGCAGGTACATCCATTAGATATTTTAGAGGATCAAGTTTAGATATGAGCCAAGTAGAGTGATACAACATATATTGTCTGAGCCTTCGGGTAGTCCAAACTAAAGCACAACACAACTTTTCTATTGGTGAGTACCTTGTCTCGCAATCAGTAAACTTTTTGCTGAGGTAGTAAATTGCTCTTTCTCTTTTCTCAGTTTGATCATGCTGCCCTAATACGCACCCCATTGAATTCTCAAAGATTGATAAGTAGAGGATTAATGGTTTGCCGGATATTGGTGGCATTAATACTGGAGCATTCGACAAATATCCTTTTATTGCTTCAAAAGCTCCCTGGCAATCATCATTCCATACCCCTGGGTTATTTTTACGGAGAAGGCGAAAAATGGGATCGCACTTCTCAGTTAATTGCGAAATAAATCGGGCGATGTAGTTTAATCTTCCCAGAAATCCTCGAACTTCTTTTTGTGTTTTTGGGGGTGGTAAATTCTGAATAGCTTTGACCTTGTCAGGATCTACTTCAATCCCTTTTTGCTTACTACAAACCCCAAGAGTTTTCCCGATGTTACCCCGAAGGTACACTTGCTTGGATTGAGTTTTAACTGGCAGCTCCTTAATCTTTGGAAGAGTTTCCTCAGATTCTCGATGTGTTCTTCCTCCGTTTTAGCTTTAACAATCATATCATCGACATATACCTCGATTTCCTTGTGCATCATGTCGTGGAATAGTGTTACCATGGCCCTTTGATAGGTTGCCCCTGCATTCTTTAGTCCGAACGGCATCACCTTGTAACAGAACGTACCCCACATGGTGACAAACGTAGTTTTTTCCATATCATCTGGATGCATCTTTATTTGATTGTAACCTGAAAACCCATCCATAAATGAAAATAGAAAGTTTCCAGCTGTATTGTCCACCAGGGTGTCTATGTGTGGCAGAGGGAAATTATCTTTCGGACTGGCCCGATTAAGATCTCTGTAGTCGATGCACATGCGAACTTTCCCATCTTTCTTTGGTACTGGAACAACATTTGCTACCCATTCCGGATACTTGGCTACTTTCAGGAACCCAGCATCAAATTGTTTCTTTACTTCTTCTTTAATTTTAAGTATCATTTCAGGTCGCATCCTTCTGAACTTTTGTTGTACCGGTTTACATTCAGGCTTTATTGGCAATTTATGTACCACTAATTCAGTATCTAACCCTGGCATGTCCTCATACGACCAAGCGAACACATCTCTGTACTCTCGAAGCAGCTGAATCAGACTTTGTCGTCCCTCAGCAGATATGATGGTGCCAATCTTTATCTCTTTTTTATCCTCCTCTGATCCTAGATTCAAGATCTCAATGGGCTCTTCATGAGTCAGAATTTGTTTATCTTCTATTTCTACCATTTTTAGTAGTTCAGAAGATAAATGGCTTCCCTCATCACTATCATAACCTTCAATTTCCCCTTGACATATGGGCAACTCGAAATCTATCTTCAGGTCAGACTCATCAGCATTCATACTATTAATATCGGAGGTCCTGAAAGAATAACGAACGAGAGGATATATACATATACAAATACAGGAGAATATATCCCATATCGAAATAGAATGAAATAATAATATATAAAAAATAAATAAATAAAAGAATGGAAATGATGATATTTGTCATTTCGTGAATTAAGAGGAATGCATCATTTAAAAACATATAGATTAACCCCTTACAAGAGATCACCTATTGCCTCAGGGTTTAGACAATAGGGAAAGTTTTTGTGCATTACTCTGAAATAGTTTTGTAAACTACAGGTAATTCTTCTGCTGTCCAATTGTTTAGCACAAAGCCTGGTGGTGCGGGGTAGATGCCCATAGCCCTTTCGTCTTCGATTCCTTCCTCTGATATCACATTTACGCCCAAATCCTTCAGGTTATTTTCAATAACAGACTCTTTTGATGATCGACTCCCCTGAAACATATGGCCCCCAGATATGAATGTGTCACGCAACAATGGGAAATTCATGGGTTCCCACTTAATATCTTCCCCGACTAACCTGGCTTTCCTCCTTTCATGGCTCTTTTGAACATTTTTCAACTTTTCCTTTAAGGTCGGGCGATATCCCAAACCAAAACGATCTCGCTTAATACCAGGAAAAACTGGACTAATATTTCCCTGTAGGCGGCTTCCCAACCCACTTCCAACCTTGGCTCCTCTTCCCATAGTCATTTTCAGTTCCATTTTGGTACAATTGGATAGCCTAGGCTTCGGAATTTTCTTTCTTTCGGCAACAAAGGTGGCATTAATGAATTCCAAGGCTCTGAAAGAGCACTCGACCGCATCTTCATCTATTTCGACATATGGAGCGGTAGTAGATATGGAAGCAATGATATCTTCCTCAGCATTAAGGCATACCAGTCTCCCCTCAATTACAAATTTGAGTTTCTGATGCAAAGTGGATGGCACAACTCCTGCCTGATGGATCCAAGGCCTTCCTAACAAGCAGTTATAGGAAGGCATTATATCCATTACAAGGAATTCGACCTCATAGGTTGATGGTCCTATGGTTAAAGGAATATCGATCTTCCCCAGCACCTCCTTCTTTGTTCCGTCAAAAGCTCGAACGATGCTTTGGCAATTTCTCATGTATGTACTATCAACCGGCAGTTTTTTTAATGTCACTAATGGCATCACATTCAGGGCAGAGCCATTGTCGATTAGTACTCGTGATAACACATGTCCCTTGCACCTGATGGTAATATGCAGGGCTTTAGGATTGCCCATCATTCCGGATGGGATCTCGTCATCAGAGAAAGAGATGAAATTATCCGCCTGAATATTTGAAACCAGTCGATCTATCTTTTCCACTGGCACATCTTTCGGTACGAAAGTCTGATTCAAAACTTTCAGCAATGCATTTCGATGTGCCTCAGAGCTTAATAGTAGAGACAGGATCGAGATACGAGCTGGCAACTTGTGTAATTGTTCAACAATGCTATATTCGCTATGTTTCAAGAATTTTAAAAACTCTACAGCATCATTCTCGGTTACAGGCTCATTAATTGTCGGCTCATCATTTTTCAATAATATCTCAACCCTTTTTCCTTTATCAACGGTCATCCTTTTCTCAGGTTCACTGGTCTGGTTGGAAGAATAACATCTCCCACTTCTGGTGAAATGACCTACCTCGTCCACCTCTTCCTTAGCAGCCTCTGAACTCTCAACATTCTTTAATTGGCATCCATACCTCCAAGGGACCTGCTTGTTGTCCTTATAAGGAAAAGACGATGGAGGCGTGATCACTATTTTAGGGATTAACCTTTCCATAGTCTGGGCTTTCGGTGTGATGACTAAAGGGCAATTGGTATTGTAAACTCCCTTAGATGTGCCTTCGGAAGCGCAAATCTCAATCTCTTTCTCTTTCGTAGCTTCATGGTAAAATTCCATATCTTTACTATCCATCAGCCTTTGAACCAAAGCCTTAAACTCATCACAACTTTGAATGACATGATCCTCGCAACGGTGGTAGGGGCAAGCATGCTTATTTTCGTTAGCATTAAAGGTCAACCAGCCTATTTTGACCATTTGCCCCCATACCCAATGCATGGGTGACTTCACTTCTTTGACTTTGGTAATGATTTCGTTCCCTTTTTCTTCAATAGCAGCATTAACTCCTGTCCCTGCATGGTTCGGCAGTGGGTTCTGAGCCACATTGGGCTGCTCGCTGTCACCAAAATTGATGACATTTCTTTGTCTTAATCTCTGCACCAACTTTTTAAAGGCCAGACAGTTTTCAATTGAATGCCCCGATGCCCCCGCATGATACTCACATTGAGCATTGATGTCAAACCATTTTGGGTAAGGAGGCTGTATTGGAGAAGTGTGGTAAGGTGACACCACATGTTTGTCATACAGGATCTGGAATAGTTCTTTATAAGTCATGGGGATAGGGTCAAATTGAACCCTTTCCCTTTCCTGTCTTGGTTCTTTCGCCCCTTGCTGGACAGGATTTAGTGCTGACGATACAGTGGCTTGTGGTCGAGATACTGTAATGTTATTAGAATCATATTTCTTCACATTACTGACCTCATTATCCTTCCTTCTTGCTGGAGGCTTTCGGCTAGATTCTCCCCCGTCTAGCTTCCCGCTTTTGATCGCCATCTCAATCATTTCTCCTGCATTAACTATATCAGCAAAATTCTTGGACGAATTTCCAATAAGATGTCCAAAGAAAGGGGCCCTCAGAGTATTTACAAAGAACATATTAGTTTTTCCTCCTCTAATGGTGGATAAACTTGCACAGCCACATCTCTCCACCTTTGGGCATACTGCCTGAAGCTCTCGTTGGATCTTTTTTCCATACTCTGTAACAGAATTCGGTTTGGCCTCACATCTTTTACATGCTTATATTGCTCTAGAAAAGCCTTAGCCAAATCCTTCCAGGATTTAATATTAGCCCGACTTAGCTGATTGTACCAACGAATTGCTGATCCTGCCAGGCTTTCTTGAAAACAATGAATTAATAACTGATCGTTTCCCACATAGCCTGTCATTTTTCTGCAAAACATGGTAATATGTGCAGAAGGACAACTGGTGCCATCAAATTTCTCGAAATCTGGAACTTTGAACTTCGGCGGCAACACTAAATCAGGGACCAGACTTAGCTCTCTGGCGTCAATTCCATATAGGCTAGCATCTTCTTTCATAGCTCGGAATTCATGCTTCATTTGTTCCCATTCTTTCTTAATCTCCTTATCCTGTTCTTTTTTGTCTTCCTCATCCAGATCAGGGACATCTTCAATTGGTTGCGGGTTTGTAGAAGAGCCAGGTAGGTTTACTTGTATTTTTTTTGGTTGGATGGTTGTGGTTTGTTGTGCGTGGAAATGCGGTGGTGTGAAACCAGGGGGATATAATGGTTCTTCGGCAGTATGACTGATAATTGGAGTCTCTTCTCGGATTATACTATTTCCTTGTAGCAAACTAATCAACTTTGCCATCATGTCGTCTTGAGCCTTCATCATCTGTTCGCGCATATCCTCTTGCGCTTTCTTTAAATTCTCTTGCATTTCAGCTTGAGTTTTTTCAATTTGTGCGATCTTGTCATCCATTTTCTTGGTTGATTGACGAGTACCGTATGGGTGTGAGGTGTATGCCAGAATAACTACAAATGATTGGAAATTGTATTTTATTATTTGGTGAATTTTAATGAATGAATTGTTATAATGTAATCATTAAGATTTTTAAAAATTTAGAAAAAAAAAACATATGAAAATGCTAATGCAAATGCAACCCGATATTGATTCCAAAATAACTTAGTTTATATAAAAAGTACTCAACAACACACAACGTCTAAGCACTTAGGCAAAGAGATTATATCGACATGATTACTAAACATAGAATCTTGCCCTATTCCCTAATCTCTCGAGCTCTATCATCAATCCGATGATGCGGCGTTCTTCCTCTGATTCTGGAATCACAAAAACTCTTAAAGCTGTCGCTTCTTCAGATAATTCATAAACTTGGCGAGCTACATCGCGAGCCTGATCCACTGCTCTCTCCATTGCTTCATGTTGCATTTGAATGGTGTCCTGAGCCTGTCGTAGAGCAATTTCAAGCTCTGGATTAGTTAATGGTCGGCTCTCTTCTAGCTGTTGGATTCGCTGATGAGATCTATGCACTATGACTTCTAACTCAGTAATCTTGGCTTTTAAGGCCTCGTTTTCTTGCATGGTTACCTCTTGTGCGGATGAGTGGATTAACCCTGCTCTTTCTAGCTCAACTATCTTCTTCTTTATCATCTCATTTTCTTTTTGAAGACTGTTGTAAGGGTTCCGAAAAGTCTCATCGATGCTAAGCAGCTGTGCTTTGAGTTGTTCAATCTGTGTTCGCCTTTGTGCTAATTCCTTGTTAGTCTCATCTCTTTGCTCTCTCAGTTTCCGAGCGTGTTGTATGGATCGTTTCTTTTCTTCTTGGCCTCTTCTTGCGCTTCTTTCTACCCTATCGAGTTTTATCTTTAGGGTCTTGGCAGTATGATGTAGATCTTGGGCTCTCATATTCCTCTCTAAGGCCCGAAAATCTTGGTTTAGCGCATCAAAATTCTCCTGGACCTTTTCTTTCTCTTTGGCCAATTGTTTTATCACTCCGTCCTTTTTAATCATTTCAAGTTCCCATATTGTTTTCTCCTCCGAAAAGCTTCTCTGTTCTTTTTCTCTCTCCAAATTCATCAGTCGCATTTCCTCTTTTAACAACTCTGTTTCTGTTGGGAGCCTCCTCAATCGCTCCTCCATAGTCAACTGGTCCTCTAAATTTGGCTTAGGTGTGTTGTTGTTAATTCTCTGCGACCTCCAAACCTCATAGGCCGGCGTGAATACAGGCTCTATCATCTTGAAGCTCATGCATTGAGGCTTCTGCCAAGCCGCGTAGATCTTTGAAATCCGCTCTCGGTAACCCGGAGTAGAGAAAGAAAACTCTGCCTCTTTCAGGCCATGGGTAGCTGGTACGAACTGTCGGGTACCAAACTGTCTGAGTACAATTAGCGGAGTATACCCGATAGCTCCCCATAATCCGTGTAGCATTATAAAACTATCATTACCGCACCTAAAAAGTATGTCCTCTTTGGGTAACCAATAAGCCTTCCATACTATCTCAGTATCTTTCATGTTACGGAGAGCTTCAACCCAGTCTTTCCTCTTGCGATGCTCTGGGATTTGGCATTTGTCGAGGAAATCCACTAGAGGTGAAAAATTTGATTGATGTCTCCGAGCCCAGCCTTTCTCGACTATCCAGGAGTGGCTCCACCACCAAACTAGTAATAGTGAAACACATCCGATGAATTGACCTCCCCCTAATCGTCTACACTGGTTCAGTGACAAGAATGTTTCTGCAAGGATGGCTGGTGCAGGATTCTTTCTAGCGACAGCTTCGACGAAATCGATTAAGGTGATGTCGAAGTGATCCTCATTCCTGGGGAAAATTACCAAACCATATACTGCAAGTGCGAAGTGATCTCTTCTTCTTTTCGACGGAGTTTGCTCGTAAATTAAACTCTTCAGCTGAGCCCAGGAGATCCCTTCATCACGAATGTACTCTTCAACCCACTCCTTGGTCTTTCCCGTCAACGTGATCATCTTGGCTATGAACCCTTTAGTTCGAATTGCCTTGGTGTAAATGGAATGTCTTCTAACATTCGGAATGTTCAGCAAAGTCGTATACTCCTCTAAGGTAGGGGTCATGTCTACTTTACCGAAAGTAAAACATCTGTAAGCTGGATTCCAACATTCGGCAAGGGCTCGAATCACCACTGAATCTATTGGTACTCTCAGCAGCTCTACGATGTCGCCGTATATCCCTCTGAACAATGTCTTCTCATTATCATCCCAAGTGGACCAAATTCTTGATAACTCAACCCAATGTGCCTGCCTGACTCGAATGATTACCTTTTCTGGAAAAACTGAATCTTCAGTAGTGGCAAGGCTGTCTCCAAACCGTGTCTGTCCGTATTCAGACCAAGTCTGAACACTGATTGCATTCTCAATCCCATCGGAAGACATTGTTGCCTTAAGCTTTTTTATAATAACTAGGTAATCTGGGAATCAATACCGTTTATGAAATGATGTGATATGATAATGATACATGCAATCAAGAAACAAAGCAATAAGTTAGTGATATTAGAATAATTAAAAAAAATCAACGAATAATTAGTAAAAATTTAAAGTATCGAATGCAAAATAATCAAAGAAAATAAAAAATCCTAACATCATGCGATCTAATTCTTCTAAGTTATCTGCATGGCTTTAACGAGGTAGGCTTACTAAATTCTTTATATGAGGTTGGGTTCTAACAAAAGGTTCCTAAGCCATCTTTACAACCTGCTAAGGTTGACCCCGATTCTGGCCCATTACAGACTTGCGAATCGGGTTCAGCTCAGGGGATCACACCACTAAAAGCGTACCTCGGAACTGATATCCGGATAGGCAACTTAGGGTGCTTTCCAGAGATACTTTGTCAGACCCACACAAGAAAGCCCAATGCTCCTCATGAGGTGTGACGTTTCTCTCTACTTAAGTATACTAGGATTGAGCTCAGGTTTAGAGCTATGATATGCAACAATTCTAAATATTTCACAGAAATGTAAGCATTAATCAGAGAGAAAATCTTTTTTTTTTGTTTTTTTTGAAATAACATAATGAATCGTAAATTAAACAAGATTGAACTCATAATTTCCAAATAATAAATATAGGGTAACCAACTCGTGGCTCGACTCTCAATTTGTTTAAAAAAACAAAGGTCCCCAGCGGAGTCGCCAAGCTGTCGTAACCGTTTTTCGCCCGAAGGGAAAAAACCGATATCGACTTGGGGGGTTTCTCTTTGAAAATCGTTTTAAAAGGTGAGGAGTCGCCACCAATCATTTAAGGTGAGATTGGAACACCATAAAAACCGGGTGATTTTAATAAAATATTTTTATTTTAATAAAATACCGAGTTTTTGAGGTCTGCAAAATCCAGAAATCAGGTTCGGGAGTCGGTTACGCGTGGGGAAGGATTAGCACCCCCACAAGCGCCCAAAAATTGGTACCTAGTTGATTACCCTATATTTAAAATCGGAAATTTTGAGTTCGATCTTTATTTAATTTAAAAATCATTAAGGATGTAGAGTTTGAAAAGGGTATTCGTTTATTGAGACCGATAGCATTCGCCCCCGAGCGTAAATGCGGGAGATCAGCTATTCTGTCTAATAACCGAACATTGCCTCATTTTTAGAAAACATGATGTGGTTTAAAAAGGATGTTGACTTATTTGGGGAATTACCAGTAGTCACCCCCTGAGCACGATCGCGGAGGATATACTATTAATTCCTAAATAAGTGAACAGTGCCTTAGATTTGTAAAAACAACGCAATCAAATAAAATTTTATTTGTCCTAATTAAACTAAAAGTAAATCAAGGCCTTTTTCTAACTTAAAATGTCAAATTATGAAAATTAAGGAACATAGGGACTCAAATCTAAAATGTAAGTTCTAGTATTAATACTTAATGTTATATATTAAAATAGATTAAATATTCACGTATTAGAAAGTTTCTTTCTATAATTATAAAATGATCGAATATTACTCTTAGTCAATTTATTTCAATTCAAGTCAAGTAATGCTCATGAGGATATCATGCAAAATTAATTAAAAGATGCCCTACACCTAATTTATATATCAAAATGAATGCAACTATATATGTAATTTATAAACAATCAAAAACTAATAGTAACTAAATATTGCTAAATATGTATACATATTCTAATAATAACATACAAAGGAACTAAACATTAAATATATACATGCATAGATAGAATATAATATATACATAAGGAACATATAATACATATATATATTATAAATGGCGTGGGTTCAAATCCCACATTCACTACCATAATTAATGTGTGCATATATATATATATATATACCATATGCTAAATAAAATAATATATATCCTTATAAATGATCAAAGCAATTACATGGTCAAAGTAATTAAATATTCAAGATGCTACTCCAACACATAATCCTCCAAAATTAAGGCGAAAACAATGAGAACGTTAAATTAGCACTAATAGATGAAAGCTAGAAATAATAAATTAATTTACATACAAACCAAACGAATTTTAAGAGTAAATTAATCAAATATTGAATAATAAAATGCATGAATCTAAAAGGACACATACACAAAGTCGGTAAATTATAGTAACAGTCCCTAAATGGACTAAAATGCAAAATACACAAAAAAAAATAAACATAAAAATAAAAATAAGACTAAAACACAAATTATCAAACCATCATATCTAAATTAAAACAAAAATAAAATATGCAAGTGACTAAAATAAGCATGTTTAATATCTAAGACTAAAACCATAAATAAAAAAAAATCATAAAACACTAATGAGTGGCCTCCCACGTGGGTTGATTAACCCACCAATTTTAACACTAAAATACTAAACAATTATTGTCATATTACTATACCCCATACCTAGATGAAATGTCTCCCACGTGGGTTTGATTAACCCACTAATTTTTGCACTAAAATACTAAACAAATATTGTCATATTACTATACCCAATTAAAACCT